TATGTTGTTTAACGAAACCTATAAAATACAACAAATAAGGAATCATGCCCATGAGCAATTCTAAAATCCATGTTCATGCCTAGCCACAACAAATTAGGCATAGGTAGAGGAGTATATTTCATAACATTTTTTTTTTATTTGACAAGTTTGATATTTGATTATTATTAAAGCGACATCTTTCCTAAGTAGAGAGCAAAAAAATCTTTCCTCTACAAAAAATACTCATATCACATTCTACATGACCAATTAATTCTCCATATTAAAATTTAAAAAAAAAATTACAAAAAAAATATGTAGAATGCATAGTTTTTTTTCGAAGGAATCTATTAGGTAGGGTGTAAAATCTATCAACAAAGTCAAATTTTGCACGGATGCCAACTAAGAAAAATACCAAAGTGAAGAGAGAAAGAGACACTCCACACGAAGAGCATAAGGATTTATGTGATTCGACTTCAACCAAACCTATTTCAACAAAAGAGACGAGAGGATGGCAAGACAAGGACAAAATTTAATGAAAGAGATATAATAGTCAGGCTAAATGGATATCCTCTAGTACATGATTTTTAACAATATGTATCTAGTATAATGATGATGATATATTATATTATAAAGATTAGTTGTAATATCACGTTTTCATCATGAAAGGAGTCGTTCAAGTGATGTACTTTCATTCCATGCAAAGGTGGGGAAGTAGCGGTAATTACAATATTAAAAAATATCAATGCAAAAGTGGGTATGCAATGTATTGATTGCTATCTACGCAACAAGGCATGCAATATAGGTTTCATATAAGAGAGAAATATTCAAAACTCGTGTAATTTAGGGCCTGTTTGAGGCAGCGCAGTTGCTACGGGGAAACTGGTTGTTTGTTTATTGCAGCTGTGAGATAGCTGGTTCTGAAAAAATGACAATTTTGTCTCTGTTTAGTAAATTTGTTTATAACAGAACTGTGACACACATATATTTGATACTTCAAAAACAGAAATTCAGTTTGGAACCGTACAAAAAATCAAATACACAACTCACTTAATAGCGAGCCAAGAGTTCAAGAAAAAAGATAAGAAATATTAAAATTACATTTAATAAAATGATTAAATTGTTTTTAACATGCAGGTTGTGTATGTCCCGTGCCACAACGTCCTCCAGTGTGTGTGAGAAATATACTTCTCTTGTTATCAGAATAACACAAGTAGTACCACCAGTTAATTTCAATGATTGGGAATAACAATATGCATATTTGCAACTAGCTGTGATGCAAAAAAAAAATGTGAAACATTACACACATAACTGTCTCATTCTTTCTTCTTCCATGACTCATTTCACAGTGTGTGTGAGAGAGAGAAATATACTTCTCTTCTCATCATAATGTCACAGGTGGTACCACTAATAAATTTTAATGACATGGAATGGTATTATGTGTGTGAGAGAAATTTCTCTATGACTCGTTCTTTCTTCTTCTATGACTCATTTCACAGTGTGTGTAAGAGAGACAAATATACTTCTCTTCTCATCATAATGTCACAGGTGGTACCACTAGTAAATTTCAATGGCATGGAATGATATTATGCATATTTGCTACTAGTTGTGAGGCCAAGAAAAAAAAAGAAAAACATAGCTTCCATCACTATCTCATTCTTTCTACTTCTCTGCCTCATTTCACAGTGTGTGTGTAAAATATACTCCTCTTATTATCAGAATGACTCAGGTGATACCACTAGTAAATTTCATTGGCTTCGAATGAAAATAAATAAATTTTCAACTACTTGTTATGCCAAAAAAAAAAGAAACATCGCTCACATAACTGTGTCATTCTTTCTTCTTATATGACTCATTTTACGGTGTGCATGTGAGAGAAAATTTACTTCTCTTCTCATCAGAATGCCACTGGTGGTACCACTAGTAAATTTCAATGGCTTTGAATCAAATTAGACGTATTTGCTACTAGTTGTGAGACCAAAAAAATAAGAAAAACATAAATCACATCAATGACTCATTTTTTCTACTTCTCTGTCTCATTTCTCAATGTATGGAAATATACTTCTCTCATCACCAGGATGCTTTGGGTGATATCACGAGTAAATTTCAGTAACATTGAATGAAATTATACATATTTGCTACTAGCAGTGATGCAAAAAAAAAATCTAGTAAAGATCCACCACACCCAAACCATCACCATATAGAAGCATCAAATCAAAAAAATACATTTGAATATACACAGTGCAGAGCAACGAGAAATGAAAATGTAAATATAGGGAGAGGGGATATCACAATAATGTAGACTTCGACATGTTGGTTAGGGCAGAAGAAGAAGAAGCTCCGTGGGAAATAGAAAGAACAAAAAACAGGAATGTGGGGTTGAAATAGGGATATGAGCGTAAAAATCTTCAGAATAAACGCGGGCCGCGAGTTTGATCCGACGGCCCGCTTTTCACTGCGCGATGGCAACGCCGCCGCGGATGGAAAGTCGCCCCGAACGATGAAATATCGTGGCCCCCTATCACGACACGCTAAAAAACCGCTCCAACCGGGGCCTTAGTCCACTCCTAGTGTTTGACATCCGAGGAAGTCCAAAAGTCAAGTTTAAATCAGGGTAAATGCATGGGAAGATGATGAATCAAGCTTAGGTCCACGGAACCTTCACATGACTTTTCATATTCAAGATGCATGCATAAAAGCTTTATGTGACCTATGTACTCATGGGGCATTTACACAGATAGCACACAATTGCTATGTATTTACATATCTCACATCCAAACTTTCATATTTACACACAAAGCACTCACACTTTTAATATAACATAAACAGGGCACTATTCTCAGTTTTTAGAAGTGAAATACACATTTTAATGCATAGATTTAATTAAAGCACCAAAGGGATATGTATGTAAATATGAAAGATTAGTTGTGAGATATGTAAATACAAAAGAATTTTGTGCTATGTATGTAAATTTCCATTTATTCAATATGCATGCATGAAATATTGATTAATGCATCTGTAGAAAACAATGTTCATTCCCCTAGCCAAGTTTTAAGCACATGAAGATGTGGCCACTCTAAACATAGAGGTCACGCCCATAAGTGGATGCATGCATTCTCCATTGGTGACTAATTCATGCACCAAATTATTGCGGTCCATGGCTTTCTCCTTCCTATTTTCATATGATTTCATGATTCATATATTAGAATGATAAATTATGCATGAAATGAACATTTAAGATCATGTTATGAATATATAAAATTTGAGAAGTTTTATCTTCTATTATACTAAGCTTGGTGGTTGTTTCTTCATATTGGTTTGGTAGCCTTGCCATCCAAATTATTTGTTGGATATTATTTTTTTGTCCACTTCCTATTCATCTATTTATAATCCTACTATACTATGGCAGCTTCTGTCTTTCTTCTACATCAAATACATGCAACATGAATGTGACTTTGACTATTGACAAATTATGTTGCCTTACTTCAATGGGAGATTGTACTTAGATCGCTAATTTCACATTCCACACCAACCTTCAAATGTTCCATTTCTCAATGTGACTCATCAAGCTTCTATATGATGTCTCCTACAAGGTACCTAAAAATACATCTATATATATATATATAATTTTTTTTTGGGCGACAAGAGTGCATGAAAATCAGACTCTATTAACGTCTAATCTATTTATCACTGTAATAGATAGCAATTGGCCCTCTATTTGGGGAACATTTAAACATCATGGAAGGGAATTTATTTCTGTAATTAAACATGATTAACATTCACTCAAAGTCACATGTGAACCCATGTGATCTTATTTAACATTATTTGAGTAACATCAGCAAGAAACACCCCAATTTGTTTACCGCAAACTAAAGTGGGGCCTTGTTGAAATTTCAAAAAAAGTGTTTGTAACCAAAATGTATTTCTCACTATCATGGATAGCAATTGGTAATCTATTTGGGAAACATTTAAACATCATGGAAAGGAAATTTTGTAATTAAAGATGATTAACATTCACTCATAAATTTACATGTAAACCCAAGTGATCAGATTTAACAATATTTTAGCAATATCATCAATAAACATATCCCAGTTTGAATCCCGCAATAAAAAATGGGGAACTTATTCAAATTTCAAAAAAAGTGTTTGTGACCAAAATGTAGCAATTTTAAGAACTTGAACCCACATGAAATACGAACCATACCTTAAACTCAAATGTAATTTGTACTAACTAACAAGTGAAAATCTTGTTTTGAGAATTAAAAGAGTAGAACTACTTTCCTCAAATGTAACAATTGATTGCAATAAAGCCTACAAAGCAAAAGGCATAGAAAAGCAATTTATTTACATGAGATTTATACCTGCGTTGCTCAGAAGTTTATTTAAAAAAAAAAACCTTTTAAATGGAATAGAAATCAATGATATAAAGGAATTGATGCCACATATGTTGTATGTGGTACTGATTTGATTGGTATCAGGACTGGGGAGAAACATTTCTAATTCTAAGCAAGCATGATGCATACATTTCACTACAGCGCACTAACAATCACAACATACCCAAAAGAAACAAAATTTTCTTTCTTTGGGAAAGTTGAAATTTTAACTCCACATTCCAAACATGTTTCTTTCCTTAACCAACGATTCAAATCCTAACAACAAGTTTCATACTCTGATCTTGTACTTCTCTAGATCCGAGTTCACTACAGCCAAAAAAATAAAAAAATAAAAAAATTTCAGATCCTCCCCGCCATCATAAACCCGAATCCATGAGCCGTTTATCAAAAAAACAATAAAATATTTAGATCTACACCCACAGGCACCAAATCCAAGCTTATAGCCGTGAATCATAGCTCATCGACTCTTAAACAGATCCATTACAGATTCAAAATCCTAAGAAAACCAAATGCAAGACTCACTAAACCAAGATCCGCAAGCGATCGCACTCAAACAACTAAAAAAACAGACGTGGAAATGCATAAAACCAGATCAAGGAAGCAAGCAAGATCAGAAAGCAAGTGCTCCACCTTTCCTGGCCTGCGGTGTCCCAAATCTGCGCCTTGATGACCTTGCCATCTACATTGACGCTCCTGGTGGCGAACTCCACCCCAATGGTGGACTTTGACTCTAGACTGAACTCGTTCCTCGTAAACCTCGAGAGGAGGTTCGATTTCCCCACTCCCGAGTCCCCGATTAGCACCACTTTGAACAGGTAGTCGTAATCGTCCTCTGCTCTGTACGCCGCCATTGCTCCTCTCTCTCTCCCTCTCCCTCTCTCGCCGCGGGGGGAAGCGAAGTATTTGTGTGGATTCCTCCCGCGGCGGATCCGTTCGAAGAGAAAAAGGAAAGAGATAATGGCCGCGCATGGAGGTGGGGGACGGTGGAGAGCTGGAATTACGAAAAGGCCACTGAGATTAAGTTGTAATTTATAGTTAATTAGAGGTTAATTTGGGTAATTTGTTTTGTTAGTGGATGTGGGAACTCGCACTTGGCGCTTTTTAATCGAGTGTGATTAAATGCCAAAAATTTAAATTGTAAAACCTTACATAAATATCACATTACTTTTATGTATTTATATGGGAACTTTAGTTTTTTTTTTTTATTATTTAAAATACTCAACTGTATTTTTAGGAGTTAATATTAATGATATTGTTGTGCTATGTAGGGGTGTAATGTAAACGAACCGAACACGAATGCACGAATGAACAGAGCTTGTATTTGTGTTCGGTTCGTTTGAAATTTAGTTTGTTTGAAATAAGCTCGTGTTCGAAATTGTTCGTGAAGTCACTATTCGTTTTCATTTCTTCATAAACGAGCAGAACACGAATTGTTCGCGAACGACGAGTCAGTTTGACATTCATAATATTAATATATATAAATAATATATTATATTAATTATATAACTTATATCATATAAATATATATTATAAATATTAGTATATTATTAATCTAGTATTGATGTGTGCTAGAAAATTCGCAGCGGTAGAGTAATAAATTATTGTCCTAGCGTTATATAAGGATTCAGTACACACTCAGATAAAAGGGAAAATAATCAGTGATGACGTCATAAGTTTTTACGTGGAAAACCCGTAAAGGGAAAAATCACGGTGTCTGACCCAGTTTTAAAAATCTACTATATGTTGATGATTACAACGGCCTTTTGTCCCACGGACGGGAAAGGGATACTAGGTTTTCAGATTACAGCATTGTCTGAAGGTGTCCGGTCAACGGCGGTCGGCGATGATCGACGGTGGAAGACGGTCAGCGAAGATCGACAGTAGTCGATGGTGATCAATGGTAGTCAACGACAATCGATGAAGATCAGCGGTGGTAGACGGAGGTTGGTGGTGGTCGTCGACGATCGGTGTTGTCATCGAAGGTCGAATAGCAGGGATGATGTTGGACTTGAGCTCTTTCTCAAAGTCCGAAGTTATCTCCCAAGCCTCCTCCCGCATGTGAGGGGTGATCCTCCCTCATGTGAGGGGTGAGACTCTATTTATAGTGTTTTGGGTGCAAATGCAGAAGAAATATGAACCATTTTGATCGAACGGTCCGGAGAGCTTCCCTTGATCAGATGACGTTTGATGGACATTTGAGTGTCTTAACGTTGTCAGAATTAAGCATTCTTGGGCTCGTTGGATTTGTCTTGTCAAAACGCTCAATTCAACTATGAACTTGTCAGACTCGACATCCGTTTGTCATTTCAAATGTCTTTGGAAATCTCCAAGAATGATTTAATGATTTGATCCGGGATTGATCCGACTCAGATTAGACTAATTTTTTATATCATTGGTCCGTTTTATCGAGTCGGTCAGTTTGACCATAAGTTTGATGAAATTGGAGCTCTCGATGACTTTTTATCAATATTTGAATATTTATTGATCAAAATATTGCCTCGAGATTCGCGTCGGATGATGAAAATTTATTTGTAGCATATCAAGTATATTAATATATTATTATTATTAATTTATTATATATTATAATTTTTTAAAATATCATAAATTCTATATATATAATTATTTTAAATTATTTTATATTTCAAACAATAATGATTCAAACACGAGCAGACACATTACTGTTCGTGCTTGGTTCGTTTAACTAATTGAACGAAAAAAAATTTGTTCACGTTCGTCTCGTTTACTTATCGAACGAATCCAACACGAACTCATTGACGAACCGAAACACAAACTGTTCGCGAACAACGAGTTTTTTTTACAGCCCTAGTGCTATGGATGTAAAATTCAAGCTTTAGAGGTTAAAAATGTAAATGCATAAAAATTTTGCGGTATATATATAATTTATTTTTATCACATGTGTACCGATTAAAATATTTATAACTTTTAATTATATAAAATATTAATTATTGACAAGGGCAAGGATTTGAAAATAGGTCCGGACATAGAGTAAGAAAAATAAAATTTTCAGAGTTTTGATTGGACTTGAATAACATGACGCAAATTGTAAACAATAAAATAATAATGCATTAATATCATTTTTATTAATTCGATATATAATATTAAATATAAGACTACACTTTTAAATGTTCTCAATATTTTTATAACTAAAAAAATGTAAAACATATCTAGTTTTAATTTAAATATATCATTTGTGGCGTTGGATTTAGCTCATTCTCAAAGCTTATGAACCATTTTAATCAGACGACTCGAAGAAAATTTAGTTAATCAAACGACATTTCATGAACATTTGAGTGTCTTAATGATGTCGGAATTGAGTTGTCTTAGGCTCGTTGGATTCGTCTCGCTAAGATGCTCTATCTGACTACGAGATTACCAGAATCAATAATTGTTTGGTCTTTCAAATATGTTTGGAAAGCTTCCAAGAGTGATTTGAGAATTTGATTTGAGCTTGATTTAACTCGAATTGAATCGATTTTTATATCATTGGGTCTGTTTCACCGTGTTGACCTATTTAATTATAAACATTAGAGCTCTATATGACTCTTAATCAAAGTTTGAACATTTACTGCTTAAAAATTTATCTCAACATCCGTGTGATACCTTAAGATTCATGTCAATTGTTGAAAATTTATTGATGGCATATCAAGGACGTATTATGAATATAAATAAACATTTGCGTTGATATTAAGATTTTTTTATTTAAGTTATAACTTTATTAAATTTTATTTCAAATTATTTATTACATAAATAAATAAAAAACAAATGAGTCCAAAGAGTATCGAATTATTTATTTAATTATTTATTTATTTACATCGAAACTGTTCTAAGAATCTCAGCTTACACAAGCTAGAGTAGTGAAATGCAGACAATTTTCTTATTACTAAAAAAAATTGCCCAATTGGTGCATAAAAGTTCGAATCAGAATTATGTTTTAGATATGATCAATAGTTTAAATGTCTAATTTTTTTTATTTTAAAATATATAAAATAAATTTTAATTTACTGTCAATAATTTAAAATCTATATATATGTTTTTTATAAGATAATAAAAAACAATAATATTCGAAAAATAAATTTTTTACTATGATTTAACTTAAATAACTTTAGGTTTAGTTAATAATTTTATTTTATAATTTAAGGTTAAAAACAGAATTTGGCAGCTGCATATTGTATCAAAAATTACAAAACAAAGATTTTTTTTTTTTCTAGAGATAAATAATGAGACCTGAGCTTTGTTTATGATACAAAATAATTATTTTTCTAATTTTGTATGAATGCCATAAAATCTGATAAAATAATCATATATTTTACGCAAAAAATTTGCGTACATAAGACGCTCTGCATACGTCTGTAACATGTAAATAGGTTACATGAAGGATATTGGGAGGTTATAACCGTGTTATACCCCTTGTAACCTCCCTGTAACCTACCTGTACCTTCCAGTAAGTTTCGCGCTTCTGTTTTCATATACAGATAGGTTACAGGGAGGTTACAGGGGGTATAACGCGGTTATAACCTCTAAATATTCTCCTTGTAACCTATTTAAACCTCCACAGACGTACACAGCTCTGTGTACGTCTTATGTACTCAAATTTTTTCCATATTTTACACACCTTAGATATGCATATTATCATCATGAAAAGAAAAAATAAAACATAGAGATATAGGCTGAATAGATTTAAGATCTGTTTAGGACAGTTTTCTGTTGTTTTGTGTTCCAAACCGCTAGCATACTTCACTTTTGGGAATCTATTTTCTATACATTTTTGTGACGGGAAATTTTTATTTTCGAACTACATGTTAAAGTGTGATGGCTAATAAAAAACTGTTCACTGATTTTTTGAAATATCAATTTTTCCAAAAGTTATCTTTTTCACCACAGCTTTATAACCACAAAAAAAAAAAAAAAAAAAAACCTGCAGCCATCCCCCACCAGACCTTTAAAGCAGCAGCAAATATTTTTTAGAATGATATATGAAACCAATTTATATGCACACATCTAGGCTTTTATATACCCAAAATTTTCAAAACATTAATATACAAAAATAGTAAATATTTCATTTATTATTATTATTTTTATGCTACTAATTGTTCAAACCTGATAGAAACAACATTTCAAGTCATAATAAACAACAAACCTGAATAACCAAAAGTTCAAACCGGCAAAGGGCTGGGCTGCAGGGACTCCTTTCCAGTTATTCCTGGTTTTAGAGTCCTGAAATATTCATCATAGTCCTTTTCTGGGGGTGGGTTGGCTGGATCCACTGTGAATGTTTCACTAAATGGAATGGTGCTCTTCACCTGACAAGTTTCCACAAAACTATAGCTCAATATTGAATTAAGAATGTTTCAATCCGGCGCCAATTACGAATAAGAATGATATCTACTCAATTACATCTAGAATTTTATGTAGAGATTTCCTTAACTAAATCCAGCTCAAATCAACCCAAACTTAATTCTGACTCGAAATAATAAGCAGTTGAGTTGTGTTAGAAACGGTGGAGCCCGATCTACTATGTTTGGGCGGTTACTTTGCTTTGGAGAGTCACACATCTTCACAAATAACCACTCCGTCTTCCTCTTTTGTGAAGTGAAGCATCTCTTCGCTCCCTCATGTTCGTGATAAAAGGTTCGGATGAATCTCCTTGGGTTTAGTAGTCACGCTTTGAGTTCTTCTTCGGTTTCCTCGGGATAGAGGAAGGTTTTCTCGGGGCAGAGGAAGAGAAGTGCAAGGGTGAGCAGTTCCTTGCGGCAGAAGTAAGAAGAAAGAAAGAAGAAGAAGATTGTTCTCCCTAGGCTTCTTCTTGGTGGCTTGTGGCAGAAGATAAATTTGATTTATTTCTCTTATAAGTTTGTTTTCTTCGATGTATCTCGGTGTAGAGAGGGAAGAACTGAAAGAAGAAGAAGAGAGAGAACAACGAAGAGTGAGATTCCTCTTGTAAGTCGAGATGATCAACTGGCGTAAATTTCTCAAGTAGTAAAATCTTCTGCAACTCCGTGGACGTAGGCAATTTGCCGAACCACGTAAATCTGTGTGTGTTCCGCTGTGTTGTTCTTTTCTGGTGTGATTTTTCTCGTTCTATTTTTCATTTCGTCGATCGTACTCCTGTTTGATTTATATATATATATATACCATATCAACTGGTACATATTTATAAATCTCGCCAATAACAACAGAGTTGTTCAGGTTAGTGTCGGCTTGAGACGAAATACATAAGAAGACCAAATCATCCCAAAAATAACAAAAAATTCTGGTATAAGCATAACCTCTTAATGGAAGGAAGAAATGATTTGTTAAACAAGAAATTGAAGTTACCAATTTAACTCAAAAATATCGACCATCTGATGATCCGGTTAGAAGAGTAGATGTTTTAAATTCAACTCATGTTAAGAAATGTAGAGGTAGACCTAAAATGATTGGGCCGTGTTGTATAAAAAAATGATATTAATTTATCAAAATTAAATAAAAATATGACACTATATGACACGATGGAGAAAAATGATTCATGTAGCCGGTTCACTTAGTAGGATAAAGGCTTCTTATTGTTGTTGTTTTCAATTTTCCATTTTTAGTTTCGTAAGTGCTTATTCAACTTCAATCTTTGACCCAAGCTTGAAATTTGTGTCTAGGGTCTAATATTGGCACCCATGGTTAAAACTACAACAAGCTAATTATTGAGCACAAAATTAAGAACCTCAAAGGTCTTGTCGCATGCATAAGGGCTTTCTAGAGCTGCAATGCATATTCTCGCAACCTCCTCTCTTGAAATTTTTCCCTGCATGCATTACAAATTGCATAAATCCTTATTATTTGTACAAATAGTAATTACATGTCCTCTTAGAGAGCGTTGATGCACAGCTAAACAAATGACAAATGGACTAGTTGAAATTTAAAAGTAGAAACAATTCAAGAAATCCAATAGAAATAAAGCAGATTTACATGCACACTCAGAAAATTTCTATGTATTTATATATCTAGCACAGAACTTTTATTTTAAAATTTATAGCATTCACCTAATAGTGACATTTTTGATATAATATTAAAGATTTGAGTGTTATAAATCTAAAAATTAAAGTTATATATGTTAGATGTGTGAATATAAAGGATAGTATGGTATGTAAGTAAATACCCTAAACATACATACCACACATTCTTATGTATTTACATATCTAACACATTAACATTCATTTTCACATGCATAACACTCAAATCCTTAACATTACATAAAAAATATTAGCATCATAAATTTTTTAAAAGTTAAATACATCTTTTCATGCATAAGTTTATTTTTAAAATTTTTGATGTAATATTAAAGATTTAAGTGTTCTAAATGTAAAAACAATGTTAAATATGTTAGATGTGTAAATATAAGGAATTGTGTGGTAGGTATGTATGTAAATTCCCTAAAAATACTTTGAGCCAATCAAATCTTTAACATCACATCAAAAATACATCATCACAATCTTTTTTAAAATGAAATACACCTTTTCATACATAAGCTTGATGACACTAGGGCTATAAATGAGCCGAGCTTGAGCGAGCTCAGGCTTGGCTCGTGTTCGGCTCGTTCGAAATAGCTCGTGTTCGAAATCAGCTCGTGTTCGAAATCGGCTCGTGAACAGTGTGTTCGTGCTCGGCTCTATTTAAATATTCGTGTTAGTGTTCGGCTCGTGTTGGGCTCGAAATTGACTCGTTAAACTAAAATTAAGAAAAATAGATGTAAAGTGTGGGATTCGAACCTGAATCAAATATATAGAAAAGAAGACACTAACCACATTGCCACATGAGGTGTTATGATTTAAACTTAGACACAAATATATATAATATATTATTATATAAATAATATATGTAATATATTGTTACATAAAAAGTTATATAATTTTTTCGTTTACATTTCGAGCTTAAAAATTTGTTCGTGTTCGGTTCGTTAGGCTTAACGAACGAGCCGAACACGAGCTGCTTAACGAGCCGAACACGAGTTGTTCACGAACAACGAGCCAAATTGACAGCCGTAGATGACACCAAGATGTTATAAGTGTAAATATGAAACTTTGGGGGTCAGAAATGTAAATGCATGAGAATTGTGCGGTAAGTATGCACCCAAATAATTTTCAAGAAATTCTACATACCGTTATATTATCTCCCTGATCAAATATAAGATCTGCACCAGCAGGCTCTTCAGTTAAGGCGCAGGGTCTTATTATTGAATAAGGAATACCACTTTCCCGTATCAAATCCTCTCCCTGAAAATTAAGGATTAAAAAGGCAACTCATAAAGTAGAGACACCTTTTGAAGTTCCTATAGTTAATAGGAGAAACTGAAAAACCATGATATTTGGTACAGTTCTAACATTTTGATATAAATTCAAATTAAAAGTTGCATATCTGAAATGTTTAGTGCAAACTAAAAGAAGAGCTTCTTGAATACAATTTTGCAGAAACAGACTTGTCGGTGTATATGGGAGAAAAATGAGATTTTTATGTAAGATTAACTTAGCGTGAACAAAAGATTTCTACCGGAAAAGATGTTTAAATTTATGCAATATTAATATAAACGTAATCGAAAATATAAATGAGCAACACTGTGAAATAAAAAAATACCTTCAATTTATACGTTAGTATAAAGTTCAACTCCTTATTCAAGCGTACAGCAGGGGGTTGCTTGCTTAAATCAAGGCCGGGTCGGTCAGGTCGAGTAACCCCAGCAGAGCTCACATGTACAAACCTGCAACAAAAAATGGAAATATGATGTATATTTTTTAAGAAATGAATTAGTTACTAAAATGAAACCAAGGTAATATATGTTGTTGAAAAATTATTCATCAGATGATTCTGATTAATTAACATGCTTTTAAAATAAAAAATAATTTCAGAATTATCCTGCGACTACTCGAATAATGTAGTCAATTTAGTCCTGCGATGCTGCAATTCAGTCCCCTAACTATTGAAAATGGACCCCAACTAGCCCCTTGTGTAGAAATCATGACAAATAAATGGTCCCAATTTAGTCCCTCAACTATACAAAACTAATCTCAATTTAATCCGAATAATTTGTCGTTGAGGAACATGGAAGAATCCTCTTCCGAATTCACCATGGAATAGAATTGCCTAGATTTAAGAAAACCGGAACAAACTTACAAACAAAAACACAACAAAAGCAGACCAGAAAAATGCAAAAGAATTTAATAAAGAAAAACTCGAGAACGAAAAAAAACCACGAAGCCACACCACTAGAAAAATAACACTATAAAAATCAGAGAGTTTACAGAGAACACACTCAATTTCCTCTCCTCTTAAGGAAACTTACAAAATCTCGCTCAAAACTCTTTTTTTTTCCATTCCAACATGAGAAAAACACGTTGAAATCATCTAAATTCTCCTCTCTGACACTTCACACCTTCACCGAGATTTTTGTTGAAAAACAACACACCAAATGAAGACAACTTACGCTCTTGAAATTGTCCCTTAAACAGGAAATCTCGCACCAACTGCTCTGGGTGCATAAGCGTCCGGACTTGGGCACTAAACAACGCCTTAGTGACGCATGTGCGCTTGAATTGGCGCTTATTCCCCTCCTCTGTTGCGCAGCGCTTGAGCGCCCACAACCCGACACAATAGATTCGAGCACCAGGTCCACGAAAAGGAGGATGCCTAAAAGCAGGCTCCATCTCCTAACAACCTCCCACTTGGAGATTGATAGCACCCAACACCAGTTCTCTGTACGTGCACATTCATCTGAATCACCTTCATAGTCATGTACCATGATGTGGCCCACACCCATTCTCAACCTTCAAGAAACCCAACTAAAACCAAACATAGCTTCAGTTTCGCACCAATAACCACCTTCGTTAAAATATCCGAAGGACTTTGAGCTGTGTGTATCTTCTTCAGAAACAACTGCCCATCTTCGAGAAGAGAATGTATAAAATGATACCTCAACTAAATGTGTTTTATCTTGACATAGAAAAAGCATTCATTGCAAGATGAACCACACTGATGTTGACCTCATTTTTGTGAGGTATTTTCTTTTTCTCCTTAGGAGCCTAGGATCTAGCTCTAGGAGTTCCTATTGACCATATTAGAAAACTAGTATCGAGACCCACCCTTTTAGAAATTCTAACCACTTCCTATTTTCCTTTGATGTCTAACATTTTTGGCACAAGACCATTGTCTTATGAATGAGCGGTTATGGGCTATTTTGCGAAGACTCAAGGGAAAAGTTCCTAATAGGACTTCAAGCCTTAGGAAAACATCGTCACGAATTTGTCGTCACATACATACACCAAATACACAAAGTTCACAAAATTGCACGAAATCGGACTTCAATTAAGCCCAGAGGACGGGTGAAAATATGAACTTCTCCGGATGATCTCCAACGACGAATGGACTGCGTCAACGCGTCCGGGATACCAATTTTGGTAGGGAAGGACACCCATATTGCCATACTTTTGACACGAGAAAATTGACACGTAAATCGATGAATTCGTCAAAATGACCTCCTATGATAAAACAGACCGTGTACACTTTTTTTTCTTATCCTTTTTTTTTTTTGTTTCAGAATTACCTAAAATAGACATCCATTTTCGTTATGTTTTGATGCACGGTTGAAAAGTACGAATTGAATTTTATTGTACGAATTGAATTTTATGAATTGAATTTTATTTTTAAGAAATATTAAACTATTTTATATCTTTATCACCTATAGTATTATTAAAACCCTAAACCCTATTTCACCGCACGCGCCTCCCGTCGCAGCTCTCGAACGCGTCTACTGGTTCAATCGCAAGCCCTAACAAGCGCAACCCGTGGCTCGCCCCTCTATTTCCCGAAGTCTGATTCATCGTCTCCTCTGTCATTCGCGCATGAGGTGGCTCGCCTTCCTCTTCCCTCACACGCGGTCCATTCGCGCACGCAGCCTCCTCAATCTCTGCTCGACCGAGCAGCTTCCCAACGGTGGAACTCCACCTGGCCGACCCTTCCTCTGCTCTAGGTTGCATTTCTTCTTGCCTTAAATCCTTCTCATCCTCCCCCTTTACTTGATTGCTTACCAGGGAGGCTGGTAGGTGGAATTTCCTCTCTCCTCCAGACAACACAAATTTTCTTTGCTATAAAAATCCCACTTTGGGAAGGTCTAGGGCTGGCCGAAATTTCTGAGAGTGGGGAGGTGCTGCCAGAGGTGCTGCCAAAATCTACTCTAAATCTACTCTAATTCCATTCTTACTTGTTCTTTTCATCCTATGCGGCCTGAAGGTTGTTGAAAATTTTGAGAGAGTTCTTGAGAGATTTTAGGGAGATTCAGATGCTTTTCTACCTCTATTCTTCATTCGATTAGGGTGATTTCTTTTTTGTTTTTCCTGTTGGAGAGGAAGCTTTGTTCCTTTGCTGTTCGAAGATCCCGGAGACTCGAATTTGTCGTGCCGTAAGCTGGAAATCGTGAGGAATTTTTGTGGGTTGCTATTGGAGTGATTTTCTCAAGCCTACTTTACTCTTTCTTTGCTTTAAGTTTACAAAAAAAAAGGTATTATTCTTCCTATCTTCTATATTGCACTATTTCGGATGGCATGGAATAGGGAAATCATAACTTTGTTTAGCTTGAAATTTAAGTGAATACAGGTTAGATTAAGTGAAAATGAGGCATGTTTGGGGCTCACACTTTGCTTCTCTTGTTGCCCCTTGTTGAAATATATGTTAGATGTTGCTTTTAAAAGTTAGAAAATTACATTTGGGGCTCACATTTTGCTTCTCTTGCTGCCCATTGTTGAAATATATGCTGGAAGCTATTTTTAAAAGCTGGAAATTACATTTGGGGCTTACATTTTGCTTCTCTTGTTGCCCCTTGTTGAAATATATGTTGGAAGTTATTTTTAAATGCTAGAAATTACATTTGGGGCTCACATCTTGCTTCTCTTGTTGCCCCTTGTTGAAATATATGTTGGATGTTATTTTTAAAAGTCGGAAAATTATATTTGGGGCTCACATCTTGCTTCTCTTGCTGCCCCTTGTTGAAATATATGTTGGAAATTACTTTTAAGAGTTGAAAATTATGTTTGAGGCTAGGTTGGTCATGTTCTTGGGCTCGGTTTGGGCTCCTTTTGGTGATTTATGTTAGCTGAAATACTTTACTGTTTTGTTCCTTTTTTGCTGGATTTGGTTTGTCCCTCGTGATGGACTCGATTTGCCCAATTTCTTGGGCACGATTTGGCGGTTGTTTTTGTTCCCTCCCTGGTTTTACATGTGAGCTTGTTTGAGAATTTATTTGGGGTGGATTGGGTGGCTGTTTTGCTCTTCTCCCTAATTCCATTTATGAGCTTATTTGTGAGTTTGTTTGAGGCTAGTTTGGTGGTTGTTTTGCTCCTTTTCCAGGCCTTAGTCGTGAGCTAGTTTAGAGTGTAATTAAATCTTGTTTGGTGGCTGCTTTGCTCTTTTTCCAGGTTCTACCCGTGAGCCTCAATTGGTGGGTGTTGCCTTACGGTTCTCTTTTGTTGCCTTCTACTCGTGACCCCTGTATGTTGTGATCAATGTTGGGATTGGCTGGAATTTGATTTGTTCCTTATTTTAGCCTGGTCATGGGCTTCCCCGATGGTTCTTTTATGATTGATTCAAGCTTAAATAACATTGAGTTGATACCTATTGTGTTGACTTTGGGTATTGTTTGTTGTTGTTGCCTTTAGAGCCTTCCTTTTGGCCCTTACCCATGAGTCTGTTATGATATTGGAGTCTTACTCGAGAGCATTTTTTTACACCATGTTGGATTTATATCTCATTATAAACTTTTGATGGAGGTTGGGATTAAATTATTTTTGACATCATTATGTTTTTTCTAGAATGCTAGGGAATTATTTCTTCCATTAATTTGTCTCTTCTTTTATGAAATGTGTAAGGGCTTGTACAATTTCATTTGAAAAAAATATAAGGTTGATGTAAATTGAATTTACAAAGGGGTTTGGAAATTCATGAAAATGTCACGCGTTGATGAAAAAGTGAGAAAATGATATCTTTCTAAGATTGATTCAAGGCTCTTGAAGCTTCATTTTGAGTTTGATATAAATTGAATTCATGTTGGGATTGGAAATCCATAAAAGTGCCACTTGGAAAGGATATCCTTCTCGGGATTGATCCGATAATTTTCTTTCTTTAACGAATTTAAACGTTTTAGACCGATACATTCATGATTTTATTTTAAGTTTCACTGATTTGGATTGGCTTTAAAAATGGATCGGTCTCCTTTTCGTTCGATTTGTTTTCTTTTTTTAACGGTTAAGTTAAAGATGGGAATTTCCGATTTAATTATATTCAGAAATGATTCATAGTCTTAAGGGAAATATGAGGGAAAGAGAAAGGGAGAGAAAATTAAAAATAAGATTTGGATCTTCGAGGTGATAAAAACTAAAGGGGATAGAATAGCGAACCATCTACCGTTCCTTTTTGCATATGAAAGATGAAACTGTAAATTGGAAGAATATTTAAGGGTTGGAAGAAAGTGAGAGTTTAGAAAGCAATTAGGGACATAGATTGAAAGATCATTAGACTTGTATTTAGGTCCCTTAAATTTTGAATCAACTTAAATCCAACTATCCTAACTAGGTTTGAAGCACACCTCATAACTCTTTTGCCAAAGTTATAGGTTTACCCTTTAGGTTTTAGGAGTCTGATGATGAGCTAAGCTTAATCTAAAGATGTTTGAGGGTTAGATGAGAGACACTTAATTGAAGTTAGACACTTTAA